ATCAATCTCACTAAAACTATTGATTCATTAAGAGTCACATAAGTTGACCCTTCACCGGTTTCCAAGAATAATCACTCAACATATCAAAATAATTGTTTTATGTCTTTAAAAGACAATATGCCCTTGACTCGTTCCCTTTTAAGTCATTGAATGTCATTAACTTGATGTCCCATTAAGTACTATCACTCAACATATCAAAACAATATACCCTCGACTCTTTCCCTTTAAGTCGTTATACAATAACAGTAAGTATGCATGCATGCTTTAAAAATTATATTTAGACACAATTATACTTCACTGTAATCTTGTTATTGCTTTCTAGTTTAAAAGCAAGCAAAACATAAAAGTGGACAATCGGGTAGCCACAACCAAGGTCAGCCCTTCGGAGGTGTGGAGTGTGTGACTGTACATGAACCGTGTCGTCAATGGCCCCACAAGTTTCTACGTAGCGAAAATTTTCGTTGGAAATCCGTTGCTAATTTGTTGCCAATCCATCGGTAACTAGTGTCTAATCCGTTGAAATCAAGTGGCTTCTGTCGGTAATTATCGCCACGATTATTTGTAAATGAAAAATTATTTTTAACCAGTGATATAGTTAGAAATTGTCTATTAGGTGTCGAATTTTTTTCGTAGTATTAATAAAATTTGTTTATATATAAAAAATATATTTAAGGGCCTATTTGTTCTGGACATCAAAATCAAAGGACTTGATCACTACATGCTTTTCTATCCCACATATTCATACATACATACATTAAGTTGTCCGTCTACGAGATAAAATTTATTATGATGTAGATTGATAATTTAACAAATCTTGATTAATTAGTTACCAATGATCCATTGTCTTTAACGACATAAAATTGTGCAGAGATGGATAAAGTAACTTATTTCGACGAGTGTAATTATTCTTAAATATCACCATCAAGGAAATATCGCTAGGAACAACAATGCAGGGTCATATTATCGACGTAGTAAATTAAGTATGTATCATACATAAAGAAACACACGAGAAAGACAATTAGATGTTATACTTGACATTCACGATAAATTAAATTTGTTGTATTATATAAGTGTGATGATATTAATTATATGACACAAAATGAAAACGGTTATTAATTTATTGTAAACATAATCATACAATAGTTGTTACTGGCATGCATGTTATCAACAAAATACTTACAAAACTCTCAGAAAAAGGAAAAAAAAAAAATAGGAACAATTTTAGATTGTTGATTCAGATGGATCATCTTTTCCAACTTCTACTTCTTGAGAATGGATCTTTGTGAATCCCACCAATAACCCATGTTTCCTTTGCAATATCACAAGATAATTTGTAGAAATCACTTTCGGTTTTCATCAATTCCTTCAAACTCTTCCTTTTGTTTTCTTTCTTTTCGATGTCATGATCATTAACATGTTCTTCTTTTTCTTCTTTATCATGATCTTCGTCGTCATCATCATCATCATTTTCTTCTTCTTCTTCTTGCTTTTCCTCCATCCAACTTTTAGCAGGAGCAGAACGACACCGCATGAGGAAAAGTGCATTTGCAGGTGGCAGACATGGGAGATCTTCCGGTGTTTCAGATTTCAAACTTTTTTCTTCTTTTTCAAACACCCCAGAATCTTGATTCTCTTGTAGGACCATAAACCATTTCGAAAACACTCTCGAGTCCTTGTCATGTTCATAGTCTTCATGGTGATCTTGATTGATTTCTTTATCATTACTATCTTCATCTTCATCTTCATCTTCATCGTCTGAAGTGATATCTACATGGGAAAACCCCCCTAAACAATGAAAATCAAACTTAATCCTCCTTAAGCAAGTTAAAAACTGCATAATTTCTTTCTTGAACCCTAATGTCGCTCCCCAAGTAGGCTTCTTCTTTCTATTATGAAGCCTCTCGATCTCTTCCATGACTGTCTGCCAATTCTTGCATGATCTTGTGCTGGGTCGGACCTTAATCTGGCCAGCACAAGTTACTTTTGGAGAAGTTGGCTCCGATAAGTTGTCTGAACTCATCTGCTTGGTTCCCGACCATAGATATGGACTTGATCGGCCTCCACCGGCACCACCTCTCATAGACTTCCGAAGGTGGTTTTGGTGGTAATTCAATCGACGGGGGCTAGAAACTGACTTTGGCATTAGTCTAAGATGTGCTCTTGTAGGAAAACATACCATAAGATCTCTTGAAGGAGGCCCTTTCCCTTCTCTTTTATTCATCTTTCTCTCTCTAAACTTGTGTGTATGTGTGTGTGTTTGTGTCTTTGCTTAGACTTCTTGTTATTTATTTCAAGTTGTTATCAGAGGCTATTTGTATGAGTTCCCCAAAGAAAAAGGTATTACAGAACACCATATAATTAAGAAAAAGCAGCCCGGCCCTTTAATTAGCTACATATTTTCAAAGTAGCAACTTTTTTATAATCAATGTGTTTAGGTAAAAGTGATTATTATTCTGACTTTTGTATGTTTAGTTAAGTTGAAAATTATTATATAAATTAAAAGTGCTACAAGAAAATTGCTTATTGAGATAATAACGAATTACGTGCATACTGTTAACTTCCTTTTAATTTGCTAGCTATTTGATTCTAAATTAGTTCTTTAAGACCCAATAATCATTTTTAAAAACATATACAACTTTTCCCATAAAAAAATACCACCATTAATTAAATAATAATAAATAAGTTTAAGTTTAATTAAAAGAACAAATAAGTTAGGAATCAAAATCACATTTATTAAGTAGTAAAAACATCTTTCTACATAAGTGCCAACTTTGTTGGGCAAGTGGAGAAAATGTTGTAATTAGAATACCTTTTGATACATTGGAATGAGGTTTTAGTTTCACTATACCTCAGCCCTTAATTAAACTATATCTTATTATATCTATGTCCCTACTCAGAAATTAAATAGTTGCACAAGGGGAAAAGAAAAGAAAAGTTAGATAAAAGGGGAAAGGTGTGATGATGGCCACGAGCTTTGTTTTATGATCTAATGATATCACCAACTTGGTGACACTTTCTCAATAGATACATGCATTTGTATGTATAATTACGCAACCACCATATAACTTTTATTAGTATTCGGTAAATAAGTACAGTTAATACACTATTTTTACATCAAAATACTTTCAAATTTCTTTCCAATCAGTCATTTTATAATGCACCAAAATACACATTACAATAAAGTATGAATCATAATAAATACCGATCTCATATTTTTTTTAGACAACGGCCAAATTCATAGCAAAAAAAAAAAAAAAAAAAAAAAAAAAAAAAAAAAAAAAAAACACACACACACCTAATCGTGAAGCTTAAACGCTTTATCGCCTTCCAAATCGGACAACAACTTCTCCATCATTTTTACTAACAACAGTCAACTTAATAATAATAACCGTTCTCCTAATAATTTTATACCGCCTACCATGGTTATTTTTTTGACAGGGAATTAATCTAGAGTCAACTTATATAAATTTGTCTCTTTATAGAGATAATAACTCACATAAAAAGTATTTTAAATAAATTAATGTGATTAATTAAAGTGGGAATAGTCATGAAGGGAAGACAATGGAGAGCATGGTTGATAGGTCCCTCAACCCACTTCATCTTTGCTTTAGAAGTTAGACTTCTTTCAATCATTTTGGTTGAGTCCCTTTCACATATAAGGATGGCCAAAGGGTAAATGGGTAATTGTCCCTTCCCTCTATATGGGTTAATGGTTTTTAATATTGAATACATTTCATAAGTTCAACATATTTATCTATATCAGATAAATTAAATTGATCGAAACTCATGTAAAATGTAATTAAATACTTAAATAAATTTTTTTTCCCTTTCCTTTTGTTCTGTCAATATTTTTCTTCCCTTTCCTTTATTGAATTTATAAAATAACTCACGAATCCTTTGAATTCTTCTAAAACAATTTGAATAAAAATGATAAAGATTTGAGATGATTTATGTTTAGTTTACGGCTCATACTTTTAATATTGACATTTTTTGGGACACACTTTTAAAAATAATCATTTAAGCTAAAATGCACTTTAATTTAATTGCTAATGTGTTGATGACAAAAGAAAGTAAGATTTTGACTTGAGATGTGTGGTTCCGTTTCAAGCTATGAACACTTGGAGTTGGAGATGCTTACCTCAACAGCCTGTAAAGCTTTCCTAGCCCATTCCCTACTGTACCAATCGTATAAATTATCAATCTTGACCATCACCATTATTAAAAGACCATCTGTACTTGAAACATTACAAATAATAATATGTGTAATGTTTTAGAAATAGAATCAAATCGTCTTATTGATTAAAAACACGCCAAATTTGGGTTCTGTTTTATTGTATAATACAAAATTATAATCAAACTAGAATGTCATACCTAAAACGTTAGTGCAACACCATTATCATCTCCATATATGAAGATTTTACCTCCAGATGGAAAAATGAATGGATCATTAAACCACAAACGTTTTTTGTCTGTTTTCTTTTATAAAAAATGAATTCTTTATTTTGATAATTACACATTTGAGGTGTTTTGATTTGAGCCAAGTTTTTAAAAGCAGATCATTTTGTCATCGGAGGCTTTTACGGGGTGGGGAGTATTCACTAAGTCCACCACAACCACGTAGGCTCACCGTAATGGACACCGATAACCGCAACCCACATCCTTACTACTAGAAAACATGGGGTTTTCCTATGGAAAATAGCTATGAAAAATTTCCGTAGCTAATTAGCTACGGAATCGTTACGGATCAGCTACAAAATGGGACGTCGTAGTTTAGTAACAGAATAGCTACGGATGCTAGTCTGTAGCTATTCCGTAGCTAATTAGCTACGGAATAGCTACAAATGCTAATTCATAGCAATTTCATAGTTAATTAGTTACAAAATGGCTACTTAATAACTACGAATATTAATTACCTATGGATTAGCTATGTAATGTGCCTTCCATTAGAAATCCGTAGATAATTAGCTACGGATTAGCTACATATTTTTCTTATTTTTGATTTTTTGGGCACTAAACGCTGTTTTTTTTACTTCGTTTTTTTCACACCTCTCACCACAAACAAAATGACATTTTGTGGCATATTTTTAATGACATATATTTTTGTGCCACTATATCATGCTTTTAGTGACATATTTATATACCACAATAAAAATTATTGGATTTAATGGCACTTAACATTTTATGCCACTAATGTTTATTATTATTAGTGGTATAATGATATAAATGTCACTAAATATTATGTGTCGTATAAAGTATTGCTGATTTTTTTTTCAATTCCCTTATATGCCACTGTATGGATTTTAACTCATTTTACTGTAAATTTCCATTTCACACCATATTCTATCGCTTTACGTCCCAAAATACAAAGGGGGTAAAAAACCCTAACTAATGAAATCGTCGATCCATTCAATCATTCTGTGGGAATCCTCTCTCTTTTAAGTTCTAACACCCAACAACTATATGTAGCACCTGGTTCGCGGTACGTATTTCTTGTAATTAAAAATTCTAAATTGATGCATTTTTGCCTTGGACTCGGCGAGTTGAAGGACCGACTCGCTGAGTAGGAGTGGGATGAGACGCGAGGTCTGAGCCTTGGACACGGTGAGTCGGTTCCCCGACTCAGCGAGTAGGCCCTGTTTGGACAAAAACCCTAACCCGAGTGTTGGCACCCTATTTAAGCACACTAACTCGGCCTCCTTTGTCCCTAACACTTCCAGAGAGGTGTAGAGAGAGACCCTAGCCCCCATATTGTTCTTGTGAGTGAGTTTTGCTTGGTGAAGGAAGTTTGGAGCTTAGAAGAAGAAGGAGGAGGTTAAAAAGTGCAAGGAAGGGAGTAGATCCAAAATCTACACTATGAGAAGCTTCCATCCATGTAGAAAAGTTCCTACCTTGATCACTAGTTCATTAGATACCATTTTTGTCCCTAATTGGTGGTTTTCAAGCCCTAAAACACCAAACTCCATGTGTTTGTGCTTAATGATCCGAAAGGACTTCAGATCTAGACCTTGTGGACGTATTAGAAGCATAAAGTTTCTGTGGTTGAAGTGATTGAGGTCCCCATTGAGTGTATGACCTCATAAAGAGCCTGGATTTGCCTTTTTGAGCTTGTAGGGCCATGCATGCACGTAAAGTTTGCAAGTTTACGTGATAAGCATGCCCTAGGAACATAGATCTACGGTTTTGAAGCGTTGCATGTCTCAGATTTGGTCTATATGGGAAATGGGTCAAGGGACTCGGCGAGTCCCAAAGTGGAACTCGACGAGTTATTTGAAGATAACCTTAGACTCGGCGAGTTGGATGAACAACTCGGTGAGTCCTATGAAGATTGCCTGGTACTCAACAAGTTGTTCTTCTAACTCGACGAGTCAGATGAACAGTTACTGAGTAAGAGGGGTTTAGGTGTTGAAGGTCAAACCCTTCGTATCTGTACGCGGAATTAGCAATATACGTGTAGCAATGGTCCCAGAAACCCAAATCCTCATAAAGGATGCTTTGGTGAGGATTTGGAAGCGAGCGGGAGATCTGCTCGTATGGACTCGGCGAGTCGGATCGCGAGCCGGTTCTATCGTCCCAAGTAGTGAGTTAAGGGTGACTCAATGAGTGGGAAGGGGGACTTGTGGAGTAGGATCGGGTTAGTGGGAGAAGGACCCGGCGAGTCCAGTCAACTGGAAGTTGACTTTGACCAAGGAGTTTACCTTAGACCAAGGGTGGGTCATTCATCTGACCTAAGGGTATCTATGAGTGGCTAATCTATGTTTATGATTTATAGCCGGAGGATTACCGATTCAGCAGTCAAGCGCTTAGCAAGCAGACTTTCAGCAGCTACTTTTTGAGGTGAGTTACCTTCTAGTAGCAATGGGTCTAAGGCCACAATGTCGGCCCACTAGTAGGAGTTGTATGATTAGATGATTGTCTCTGTGATATTCATCTAGGGCTGCTACTACATGTGTTATGTTTATGTGCTAGTATGATATGATGCTATGTGCTAGTGACAGTAGGGGAGATAGTCCCTAGATTATCGATCGATATGACCGAAGGGGCAGTTATGCCCAACCATGCTAGATAGATTATGTGATACGTGTTTTGTGGTTGTGGTAGAGGGTGAAATAGTCCCCAGCATCCGTTTGAGAGGACCAAAGGGGAGACCAGCACCCAAGTATGCTAGTCAGTATCCGGTCG